GGGCAAATTACAGGAAGGAAGAAAATGTCCAAAGTCTTGTTATTGTTGCACTTGATTGTATTGACTATAATTGTAAGGTTGGATTATTTTAACTTACGGCGCAATGATAAATGAGATTTGTGCAGTTAATTTAGTGAAAAATTCCCACTATGCTGACCTTAAACTGAATAACCATGTGCTTATTTCGTATATTTCGTACGGATGGGTATCATAATATAAATCTCTATCAGACAATACAGCCAATATTCTTGCAATGGCTATTGCTTACTTATCATTTGTCTTATCAACTTTGCACTATCCTTGGGATCTCTGAGTTGGGCGTCTGCATATAATTTGTAGCGGCATGTGCGTCATATTATATGTTTGTAAGCCAATATATTTTTTATATTTGTCGAATTCTGCACTTCACACTCGGATGCTAGAGAGAGCCACTCAGTGCTCCATCGCAGTTCAACATATTCCGCTAAATTTACATTTTACTATGCTTTTTAGCTCTTTTAAATAATCCTTGTTGCAGGATTTTCTGACCAAAATCAGACCTATCTTCGGACCAACACCAGAACAAACGTCATATCAATACAGTCGCAAAATCAGCACATGCACTTTTCGTGATGTGGATTCTCACTCAGATTCAACTATTTTACTTCCTTATATATTAAAAAAAGGAAGTTTTCCTGCCTTAATTGTTTTTGAGATTTCAATAATGTTTGGTATGAAAATTGTGTTCAGCACAATTAACTTGTTAATTTCATATGAACACGCACTGCACGTATGTAATATTCGTCGATCTCAACCCTTATGTTGCATGGCAATGTTAGGTTTTAATATGAATATATCGTGTTTTCAGTTGCTTTCAGTGTCTTGTTTAGAATACATTTGAAAGTTTCAAAGAGACTTATAATAATAATTGGTATTAAAATTGGATGCTGTGGGAGGATGACGCACTTGTGACATCAATGAAAAACAAGGCAAGGAATCTTTGCTTTTGCAAGGAATAATAAAAATAAAAGAACTACTGTGATGGATACACCACAGGGCAGACAACACAGAAAACCAGTTTATTATTAAAATGTATGTATAATATATAGAGCACGAGCAGGCTATCTGTATCAGATTAAATTGCCACAAAGTCACACCTACAATCATGTGCTAACATTGAGACAAGAAACTCCCACTCAAACAGTGTTGTAAACATGATACAAAGACAGACGGTTTAATATAGCTCAAATTGTTTCCTCATCATTGTATTGAGGGGAGGGGGATGGCAAATTACAGGAAGGAAGAAAATGTGAACAGTTTCGTTATTGGAGGGCAATTAATTAAACGATCGCAGTGCACGCAGTGATAAATGAGATTTGTGCAGTTATTAACGCAATTTTGTCGAGCCATAACTTTTTCTTTTGTCCATAAAATTGAGCTGGGATATTCGTGAAAGGATTGCTCATGAGAAATTGTGTTCAAAAGTACGATGATTGTTCACTACTTAACAATTAATAGCCTTACAGGCAATAAATCAATTGTCTAAATAAAAACAAAAGGTATAGCTTTTCAACATGTTTGCTAGTCATCTCCTTCTTGGACGTTTTTATCATTTGTAACGGCATGTTCGTCATATTATATTTGTAAGCCAATATATTTTTTGTATTTGTTGAGTACTGCACTTAACAACTCGAATGCTATAGAGAGTGCTATACTCAGTGCTCCATTTCAGTTCAACGCATTTCGCTATATTTACACCAGTTTACTATATGCTTCTTAGCTCTCTGTATACTTTGATCGAATTTCTTTTGTCGTGCAATCGACCAAGATTTCCTGGCCTAGATCAGGCTATAGACTGGGCCAAAGTTTGTTTACACTTCAATCAATATAGGCAAAGCAAGGCTCAGACCTGCAGGTCACGCAGTGCAAACATGCAGTGATAAATGAGATTTGTGCAGTTATTAACACAATCTTCTCGATAAAGCTGAGCTGGTATCAGTTCGTGAACAGATCACTAGTGCGAAATTATGTTCGAAAGTAGAAAGACTGTTCATTACTTAACAATAGCTTTTCGGACAATAATAGTAAGCTGACGAATATAAGCGGACGAAAAACAAAAAGTTCCTGTTCAATATGTTTTCGCTAGTCATGCATTTCCCTGTTAGACGTCTTCGTCATTTGTGGCGGCATGCACAGCAAAAAATCGTTTTCTTATTTCAAGAAGAAAAAAAACTTGTTTCAAGAAATATTTTCTTAAAACAAGAATTTTTTTACTAGGGAGAATAGCGAGAAATATTTTCTAACTGAGAAAATATTTCTTAAAATATTTCTTAAAATAAGAAAACACATTTTCTTGTTTTAAGAAAAATATATCTCATTTCAAGAAAATAATGAAACATTTTTCTAGTGCACTTTTTCTTAAAATAAGAAATTTTGTTAGAACTAGAAAATTTTTCTTAAATTAAGAAAACTTTTCTTAAATAATAAGAAATTAAATCTTAAATTAAGAAAATATAACTTGTTTTAAGAAAATATTTCTCAAAACAAGAAAATTTTTACTAGGGAGAATAGCGAGAAAAAAATTCTAATTAAGAAAATATTTCTAGATGAATCCATTTTCTTGTTTTAAGAAAATATATCTTATTTTAAGGTTAACTTTCTTAAAACTAGATACTTTTGACTAGATAAAAAAATAAGATAAATTTACACCTAACATTCTCAGTTTAAGAAAAAAACTCTCATTCTAAGAAATTAACTTGTATATTTACTGAAATTATAGTAGTTCTGATAGCACAGCAATGTGTTGTAGTGAATTGAGTTTCTCCCAGGGTTTTTTCCAGGATTTTCTCTTGGGTCCGTTTTTGCAGAGAAGATTGAGTTTAGCTGAACAGTTGGGGTGGCTGCACCGGCCCCCCGCCTACCGGTGGGCTGACACATGTACTCAATAAATGTAATTGAGACAGAATGTGTTAAAACAGGGACACTATAAACTGGTTAAAGATGGCTTGTCGGGCTTCCAACTGAAAACTAATTTCCACACATCACAACATTTTATAACTCAAACAACTTCATTTTTACTGCACTGAAACTTTGGCGAGAAGATTGAGTTTCAAAACTCAATTCAAGATTGAGTTTTTGGGGCCGTTTAAAGGGCCCTAAAAAATCCCTGAAAAAACCCTGGTTTCTCCTGAAGTCATATTTTGTTTAACATTTTCTCCATTTCACAATCAATATTATCTATACCATTGTTCATTCACCAAATCCATTGATTTCCTCATGTACATTTATTTAACACTGTTCCAAACACAGCATGCAATTGCCATCAAAGATCCATCATCTTAGAATCTGTAAAAGGAAAATTTTACTTATTGAAAATGTAATCATTACTTTATACAAAATATGCCAGAACAATGACCTTGAGACTTATCATTAACCTACAGTGTAAAAGGGACTACTAACTGTGGATGTAATAAACAGCCTTTATTTAACCAATAACAAAGCCAGTTCATATTTCATTTGTATGTACAAGGTGATGCAGGGTATGACAAATATACATATGTTAACAGAGACAGGCTTTCTCCAGACCTGTACCCAGTAGACCAGGGTTTTTTTCAGGGATTTTTTAGGGCCGTTAAACGGGCCCAAAAATTCAATCTTGAATTGAGTTTTGAAACTCAATCTTCTCACCAAAGTTTCAGTACAGTAAAAATGAAGTTGTTTGAGTTATAAAACTTTGTGACGTGTGGAAATTAGTTTTCAGTTGGAAGCCCGACAATTAAGAAAAAATGGCTGGAATTCATCTTGCAACACAAGAAAAACTATGCATTCGCCATCACCAGTTTATAGTGTCCCATAGTGCCCTTGCTTTAACACATTCCATCTCAACTACATTTATTGAGCATAGGTGTCAGCCTCCCGCGGTAGGGGGGGGGGGGGTGCAGCCACCCCAGCTGTTCAGCTAAACTCAATCTTCTCTGCAAAAATGGACCCAAGAGAAAGTCCTGAAAAAAACCCTGTGGACTACTATCTGGTGCCATAATAGGTATCTGGGCACCACCCGCTACCATCTGGTATTAGGCAAACCACCATCTGGCACAACTTCTTGTGGCAAAGACCTTGGACCCATGTTATTTTAAAAAGTAATAACCAATAATCAGTATTAATCAGCAAGCTTAGTTTCACCAGACACTAAATTTTGTTGCATCATACTTTATTATTTTACTCTGTCTAACACCAGATAACTATACTTGTCAAGGGGAAAGCAGTCGTGCTCAATGGGTTAATCAGACTATATGCCCATGTGTCAAATTAACCATTTAGTTGTATTGTGCACTACTGTCTAATAATTATTAGTTAGCCAAGTAGATTATGTCAATTAATTTATGATCTGTCATGCGACAGTTCCAGTTTAAAGGGGAATATATCTTGTGGACTAAATATGATACTCAACTGACTGTCTTCTCTTAAATAACTTTAATTCATTATACAGTTAGCATCACTGTACATAGTGCAGTAACATTACATTAACCCTTTAAGTGCCAATGCACCAAGATGCGCCCTACTTTATTATTTTACTCTGTCTAATGCCAGACGATTTAACTCGTCAGGGACTCAGGGGAAGAGTGCTGCCACTAATTGGGTTAATACATCAGGACCCTGGACATGTACAATTGTTTGGTATTGAGATAGCAAGATTAATCTAGGAGGGCGTAAAAAAATACCTGTGGTTCCGGTTTCATATCGCAAAAAAATTTGGGTTGGTAGGTCGGAAATAATTTTTTTTTGAATATTTTTTCATGGATTTTTCAATAATTAGTGTGACAACAGATGTCATTTGGCAGCAGCCCGCAACCATCCGGAGAAAATAGGGTCGCACAGTCAATCACTTTGAAAAAAATAGGGTCGATCGGGAACCGGAACCACAGGTATTTTTTTACGCCTAGTATGGCACAGATAAAATTGGTACCTGTATCAAATTTATCCATGCTCGGCCTGTGTGAATAGGAGTAGTCGAAGCATGGTATACATGTTACGGATACCAAAATTGAGTACAGTGCCAACAGGCCTTACAATGAGCTGCATTGGGGGGTAGATTTAGGATTCACATGTAATTGTGTTGTTAATATTTACTAAATTTTTGATGCAGTATCAAGAAATGTAATAATTCCTACAAACAAGGTCCTTACATGGGCTGTTTACAAGATCAAGGCTGATTCATCTGGCTGGACAGACTTGCAAGTGCCGAGATGGTCTTGTACAACCACCTGGAGAAAATAGGGTCACACGGTCAATCGCGTTGAAAAAAATAATAGGGTCGGCACGAAAAAATAGGGTTGGTCGGGAACCGGAACCACAGGTATTTTTTCCGCCTTAAAACAAATATCGCTTTCCCACCATATATAAAATTGTTTGGGAATTTCTTACAGCAGTTGCCAGGCTAGCCCGCCTCATGTGAAACAAATAACAACTTGGCCCGGCCAAGTAAGCTAACTCGGTTTAACGGGCCAGCATGGCTCATATTGAACAGGTCCTGGGTGACTACCTTAGCTGGGCCAGTTTGTCATTTTCTTCATATAAAGCACTAAAAGCAGACTATTTTTTCTTGTTAATTCTTACCTTACAACACCAGTTTGTCAACTCAATCCAGAATTCCTTGATTGTTGAGAACAATATTTGGAGCCAGGCTATAGCCCAGCACCATTATTAATCTGAAAATACATAAAGCAAACATTTCAGGCATTGTGTCAGAAACATGTTACACATTATAAACTGAAGTTCATTAAGGGCTGGCAATACTCTCCGGCCCCTTGAAGAGTGAAATTGTCTGGCACTAGGCAAAGTAAAGCAACAGCATGGATGCATTTGGGCACATTTGTAAGCCTTAACGGGTTATTATTATTTCAAAACACTGAAAATATTACATTCAATTCTTTATAAATTCTTCTGCAATTCTAATCCTTTTTCATGTATTAAAATGCTAACATATCTTTGAAGGCATTCGAATGTTTACAGTATAAAAATATACAAGGCCTTGAGTGCATATAATTTATATGTCAAACAGCCAAAGGCAATAGTGCATTTATAGTGCGTAATTTAGTACAGAATTTGCTATAATGATTCGAATTGATATTTTATTCTTTCTTTCATTGCCAGAAACCAACATTTCGTAGGTTTTTTATGCAAATTGACGCGGCAAATTCAAACATTCAACGGAATATTTTTAGGCAAATGACTCAAGAACAATCACACATTCTTTCGTAATTAAAGTGCTTAAATAACAAGTCAAAATAAAATATTCTTACCTGTGAGATCTGAATAACATTTTAAGACCTTTCCGATGCCTTTTCCGTCGTTTGGGATAGCAAAAATTTGAATTCAGTTAGCACTAGTGATGGGCGATACCGAGTACTCAGTATTCGATACCAGCGATACCACAAACAGCGGTATCGGTATCGATTACTGACGTGGTATCGTTCGATACTTGCACCCTTTTTAAGACGACTTGTTTAATTTTAGTTCTTGGTTGAATAAGACTTAATGAACCACTAAAATAACTCTTAATATTCAAAATGTGGTGCGCCAAGTCATGTATAGAATATATTTATTACGTTTCGGGCTTTTGGTTTTCTTATAGCTTTATTTACGTTACATACAGTAATGTAAAATGTTTTTCCGCTGAACGGCAGGTATTGAAAGTAGCCGATACTGGCAATTTAAGTACTCACTTCCGGTATCGAAAATTGAAATTTTGTGTTTATTTTGGTATCGAAATGGGTATCGGTATCGACCGATACCGATCTTAAAAGTATCGGTATCGGTATCGAATTAAAAATCCTGGTATCGCCCATCACTAGTTAGCACTTTATAGCACAAAAAAATTTGAAACGGCGCTATCCCATGAACCTTCGCGCTCTGATACGTAAACTAGGCACCAGGCCCCCAGACAATGCGCGAACTATTGCTGCTTGCATGTCTGCAATTTTTCAATCAGTTATTGACTGTTAATTTTATCTATAATAAATTATCGAAAAGTCAAGAAAATTCTCTGCAATTATTAAATAAAACACGAGAAAAATTCAAACTTTAGAATGTAAATTAGAATGTATAGTATGGTATCAGGGGGAATGTAGGTGAAAGATATCTTCTTTCCTGCAGGAGGGGGGCAAATGTAGCATTTCAATAAAAATAAAACACAATATTTTTCGCAAATTTACCTCAGGGATGGATCCAGCATGATCTAGGAGAGCGGTTGGGGGGCACCTCAAAAACAACTTTCTTTTTCAGACTTTTTCGACCTCAATGTTTCAGAATATTCCGTAATAATTAACAAGTTCCACAATTCCAGCATTCCGGGCCCCCCGAGATGGGGAAATTGGGACCCCTTTCTTGATTTTTCTTTACACCCCCACACCTCCCCTCCCCTCAGTAAATCCATCCCAGATTTAACTTAACAAATTAATTAACAAAGATACTACGATAGAGGAGAATTCTTATGTTTAATTAATCTTGTGCACAGCCGCAATTAATTCCGAGTTGCGAATTCTCTCCTGAGCATGCAAAAATGCAGGGACCGCGGAACAGGGGGAGGCGTGGGCCATGGCCGTATAAAATCTAGCCTGCATGCGTGAGCTATTGCCCGTGCTATCCAGGCTCCGCGGTCCCTGTGGAACGAGGTTGGGTCCCTGTAATACATATGCAGATTATTCTAGAAATAAGTGTTATACAATTAAAATGAATCTATATACAAAATATGTTATATATGTCTTTAAACACCAGAATTGAATGCCATTCTATAGTTCCTGTAGTTAAATTTTAACAAATTTTAAATTTTCTTTCCGTTCAAGAAAATTTAAGAAATAATTTCTTATGTTAAGAATTTGATTTCTTGTTTTAAGAAACTATTTCTTAAAACAAGAAAACCACTATTTTCTTAAGAAAATGATTGATAAGAAGATGAAAAAATCGTAAGAAAACATATTCTTGTTTTAAGAAAACAAATATAATTCTTATGTTAAGAATTTGATTTCTTGTTTTAAGAAAGTATTTCTTAAAACAAGAAAATCATATTTTCTTAACAAAATGATTGATATGAAGATGAAAAAATCGTAGGAAAATACATTCTTGGTTTAAGAAAACAAATATAATCCAAGATATGTTAAATTTTTTTTTCTTATT